TATTTTATTAGTATGTTTTTATACACTGTTTGAAGCACACTGGGCTTTTTAGATCATTCAGTAGTTTTTACCCTTTTTCAGATAACAGCATACCGTAAGCTAGCAGATTTGGCATAAGGAGAGAATCAACTACTTATTTTGTACGAACATATATCTCTATATGTTTTTCGGTTATATTTGGTGACATGTATTTGTTATCGTTTTGGATATATTTGTATTATTAATATTTTGTTCTATATTATATCTAATGTATTTTAAGGAAAAAAAATCTCTGAATGGGACATGTGACCACTTAGGTTTGGGTCTAACTTACAGACCGGGTCTGGGGGGTTACAGGTGCATTTATCACTTCATATTAGAAAAAAATGTGTTTCTCATAGGCCAAATAATGACCCATTTCACCAATTTTTCAATGCTCATTTAATCATCTTCGGCAACTATTAATATGTGCGAGTTGAAAGCCATTTTATTTTAAGCAAAAAAAAAACCAAAACAACTTCAATTTTTCACTTCCAAAGCTTGAGTTTTTTTTAAACATGTCAATTATTTGTACAACTATTTTTATGATTGCAAATATGTAACCATGTGTTTACTGAAAGACATTCAACTACACAAGTTGAAGTTCAGTATAGAAACAAGGGTTCTATACGGAAGCAGTAGAAGAGTATTTTCCTTATATTATAGATTTCCATTATTATGCACGATGTTTCATCTAAGCGATGATGTAGACCTTGTTGAAATGATTGAGAGATATTACTATCACTCTTTCTCTAATGTCGATTTGTTTGTAGAATTCGATAATCATGATATTGCTCGTACCATTGAGGATGTTGCTTCCAACTCGAATATCCCACCAACTTAGACAAATGACCAAGAAAAAAACATAGATGATGGAGACCCAGAAGAATGGTTCCAATTCGTACATGAACGACAACAACAAAAAGAATGAGAAATTGAAGAACTTAATCTTACCACTGACTAGTCTACTGATTACGAAGATTAAAACTTCTTAATCAATACTGCTATATTAATGATTTTATTTTATGTTTATGGTGTTCGTAAGGTTAGTCATATTTATGTCCTTATATTAATGTATTAAGTTTGTAGTTTTTTCCCTAATGTGCATTTCTAAAAGTCTAATCTAATGTTCATAGTTTATTGTTCTTTTCAACATCTACCAACATTTTTAAAGCAAAAAAATCATACAAAACTTGTCACTAGTGAATTTTTTTCTTCCCAATATAAATTCACATAATAATCTGAAAAAATAATTTTTAATAGAACTCGTGATGACGAGTTTCACATGAAATATTAAATTTATTAGAACCAAAATATAAAATTTATATCCCATGGAACTCGTCACGTTGAGGTGACGAGTTCACCTAGGACTCTAGGAAATGTCGTAGACTCCAAATTAATTTTAGAGGTGCCCTATTGGACTAAATAATCAAAACGAGTGCCCTATTGGGCAAAAAAACCCTAGTCGCCTATCATATAATTCTTGGTAAATTCTAAGTTTAATTTAGGTCAAATTATTGTAAATATATTATTGATTTAGTCCTAAACTCTAACTTGATCAATTATAGTCCTATACTGTTTTGAATTTTAAAATCTTAGTTATAATCCAAATAATAGTTGACTTCGATTTAAAATGTTCAAATCAGAGAATTAGAATTAAATCTAAAAATTACATATAATATATATAATAATAGTTTACTTTGTTTTAATTTTTTTAATAATTATTGTCTGCTTTAAATATAATGCCATCAACTTGATCTAATTGAAAATCGAGTCAGAACTCAGAATTATAAAATCGATCAATTAAATTTTAACTAAATTTTTTGTTTTTGAGTAAAAATACACATACAAACATTTGATTTACCATGATTTTCATGTCTATGGATTAAATTAACATATGAAAATCAAATTGCATCAAGATCATCATAAGGGACTAAACTGAATAAGTTGGGACATGGGTTCAAAATCAAGGGTAAGAAATATCGAAACTGTCTTTCTGAATAGTTATAAATAAAGTTTACAACATTATTTGAACATTAAATATGAACTTGGGAATTTCTTTTAAACATACATTTAACTCAATCTTAATATATAGACTAATATATACAATTAACCATTCATTTGTAATATTCTATATAATTTAAAAAAAATAAATTCAAATTTCAAATTTGAAAAATAACTAGGTGAAGCCATGATTATGTTCATGCAGTCCACGTCACATTTTTTTTTGGATATAAAATCTAAATTGCGTTTTGTGTGTACTCGTGATCTGTCAGACCCTTCCCCCCACAAAAATGATGGCCTAAATTTACATTATTGGTAACATTAAAAGCCCTATACTTTTTCACAATTTAGGTTCTTGACAATATCAAATGGCCATGGCCTACCTTTTTCACTATGGTGAAGATTCCCATCCTTTGAGATAAGGAACCAACGCCATCCACTTTCCTCTAACCACCGATCTGGATAAAAGGTAAATTTATTTAACATTTACATCAAATCTTATTTTGGTTTATTTATTTTAGAAAATGTGGATTTAAATTAATTTATTAGTCGGGTCGGATTAACTTTTTCAATCCACTTAATTCTTATTAAAGTATAATACTTCTACATTTGATTTGGATTTAGATAAACTCTGCTCGATTTAAAATTTGTTTCGAGTTTTGACATAAAAATTCACTCATATTCATACCCAACTCAAATATGCATAAAAAATTCTTATTTTTAATTTTTATTAAATAAGATAAAAGTTTAATTAAAAAATACAGAGATAAAAAATATATACTATAACAATTATATTTAAATATATAAATATAAATATAAATTACACAATTATTTTAAGATTAAGTCCAATAATTTTTAATCTTAAAATCAAACTTGAATTGGTTTCATTTTTTAATTTACTGTGACTTTATTAATTTTTTAAAATAAAATTCATCTTACAATTTTTAAGAGTCTCGTTAAATAAAATCAGTGGTAATATTTAGTTGACACGTTAGGACTAAAGTAGGCATCCGATATATGATTCTTCACCCACCAACTTCCTTTTTCTTCATCGAAGCAAATTATTGTTCATCAGGTAGGTCTGCGCTTGAATTCAAAGCTTTCTTTCCACATCAAAGAAAATGGAAGCTCTCCTTTCCCAATTCACCTTCCTATCAGATCAAGCTTTACAAGACAAGAACTTCGATCCATCGGCCATTGAAGACCTAATGAAGCTCTTCGAGACCGAGTCTTACCAGGCATGGACAGCCATGGAGCTGGAACACCAAGAGCAACTAAAACAAGCCGAGATAACCATGCAGGAAGCCGAGGACTACCTCGACTCGGTCATGGAGAGGAGTTCAGGCGGTTCGAGGAGGAAATGGAACGCGATTCCAAGGACGAAGCCGACGGTCTAGAAGATGCAGCGGAGAAGGCTAGGAAGATGGGGAATTTTGATGGAGAAAGGAGCGATTATTGCCTCTAAATTGTATGTTGAGGCTGCTATGAACTCTGCTACTGCTTCCATGAAATCTGCTTTCAAGGGACTTTCCACTAACAAGGTCCATCCTTCATGAAAAACCTATTTATATTGTTTTCTTTTGCGATTTACGTGTATGATTTAAAGGGACCTTTCTATGAATTCTGTTTTGTAATCCATGAACTGGGTTTCAAGCTTTTGTTGGCCTGATTCCAACACGAAATCCTTCAGTTCTCCATTCCCAACAGCTATGGAAGAGCTTTTTCGTCGTGATTGCGAATAATATTGCCGTAAAACCATCGGCGAACAATGGAAAAGAGAGTTGAAACCGCGAAACATTAGCAGTTACCGATTTACCGAATTCATCTATTTGTTTTGGGTTCTTGGTTTTCACTAACTGAGTTCAATATGAGCTGAGATTGGAATCTGCCTGACTTGAATATTGAATATAATCTTTTAAAGATGTATAAAATTTAAAAAAAAAATTATGAACTACCCCATAGGATTATAGAACTTTGATTTTACAGGTAAAATCACACTTGAAAATACAATTTGGGTTTGAAGAATAACTATTTTGAGAGAAGATGCAGATGTCGATAGGCCTAAGAGAGCTAAGACCATAACCCACCACCGACCTGGACGCAATACAAATCTAGTCACTTTACTTGTTTAATGCCTGCATATTGTAATGCAACTCCTTTATACAATTTTAATATATATAATAATTTCTTTTATTTATCGGCCGCCAAAAATTTCCACTTAAGATTTGTGCATTCATTCTATTTTCTTTATTTACAAGTTTTTTATCGTCTTGTTCAATTTCATAGCAAATCATAATGAATTCTTTTTTATGAATTAACAGAAAATGAAAATTTTCTATTATGCATATAAATTTACTTACACTTTAATTATAACCTCAATATTAGAGTTAAATACCCATCCCTTTTTTTTTAGTATAATACCATAATTCTAAAATAATATATTTTTTATTAAAACAAATAAAATGCTGAAAAGGAAATTTAGTTTTGGTTTTTTTTTTTTTGCTTAACCAGAAATTCCTGGAAATTCAAGTGAACAAAGAATATCGGAAAAAAGGGTAAACTACTCCAATGGTCATTAATGTTTGGGTAAGTTTTCGTTTTCACCACTGATGTTTCAAAAGTTATAAATCTGTCACTACCGTTATCGTTTGTTACAAATTGATCACTCGCCGTTAACAGGCGTGACGGAAAACACACGTGACCTGTTAACAGCAGTTAACATGCTTACCTAGATGGTATAATTACACAAATAGTCCATGTTATTTATATATTCTTTCAATTTAATCCTAGTTTTAATAAATTAAAATATATTTATTTTTAAATCTTATAAATAATGATATATTTTTATACAAAATAATTAAATGTTTTTTTAGTTATAAAAACAAAAAAAGTAACGTGATGATATTATTATTAAATGTTTTTTTAAGAAAATGAATCGTTAATTTTTCATCATATCAATAATCATATCATCTCGATTCATTTTTCCAAGAATTTAGGTTTGAAACCGGGTAAACATTTGCATGGCAACCAACTTTTGACATTGCAGGTGCCAAAGTTGCCACAAAAATTGAACATACTACAGTTGTTGTTTGGCTCCCACCATATAAAGTTCCAACTTTTCATGTCTGTATTTTCAAAAAAAAAAAACCTTTTCATGTCTGTATCCAACTCCCAATACTGTAAATGTCCAGTAGAACTCAACACCGTTCTTTTATCTTGGTAAACTTGTGTTTTACTCATGCTGAAATTCCAGAAGATGACTAATGTAGAAGGCAGTTCATCTGCTCTACTTGATCTCCAGTAAATGGTGCTCTTTTCCATGACAACAGGCCGCGATTGAGAATCTAGTCCGAACGTGAAGTTTCCCGGTGATGGATCATCTTCACTGCGCTATGAAGTTTCCCCATCTGAGAGTCTACTTTTTACTGTTATATTATCTCTAGCGAAACAGAACTGAGGGAAGAAAACAGAATCAAAATTGTGTTGATAAATAAGATGGAAGAAACGATGTTAGGTGCTGACCAACTCGAAGCTGCTTTCATCTTCTGTGGAACATTAATTTTCTGCAAAAAATCGATAACTTTCTTCTTCAGGGATGATTAATTATGCGTGGACTAATACGAGTCAGTCGCTAAAATTGCTTTAAAATTGCTTTCCTATATAGAGCATTTAGTACTAATTTTTCATCATACAATAATTAATAATTCATACGATAATTTTTTTGTTTTTATATCATTTAATTATTTTGTATTAAAATATATTATTTTTAAAATTAAATAATTTTAAATAACTAATCAAATTAAAGAATATAATAATATGGGACTATTTGTGTAATTATACCATCCAGGTAAGCATGTTAACTGCTTTTAACAGGCCACGTGTGTTTTTCGTCACGCCTGTTAACGGCAAGTGACCAATTTGTAACAAACGATAACGGTAGTGACCGATTTGTAACTTTTGAAACATCAGTGATGAAAACGAAAATGTACCTAAACATTAGTGACCATTGGAGTAGTTTACCAAAAAAAAACCTAAATCGCTTAAATTAAGCTGATGTTTTGATTTTTCGGCTCTCTATAATTGAATTTCCTGGTCAATTTGATGAAGAATTCAATGAAGTTCTTTTTTTTTCATTTTAATTCCTTTAAATGATTTAATGGTCGAGCTTTTAGCAATTCAATTTTGCAGGAGAAACGTTTGATAGTGTTCATCTTGATTTGCACAAACTGATATTTGTTACTTTGTGGTGATTAACCGTTAGCAGATGCCCCGAGGCTTGTTAAAATCACAAACTCGTTCACCCACCAATCGGTGTAGACATTCTCCATCTCCTTAGGCAAATTAGAATGGAAGGGATAGAAGCCGGTTAGGTGATAATTACACAAATAGTCCATATTAGAAGAACTCTAGAATTTGTGAATGAATCATTAAACGATTCTAATGTTGCTCCCTTTAATGTTTCAGATTCGAGGTCGAATCTTTTTGAAGAAAGGGAGGATGATACATGCATCACAAGCCTCACATCAAAGCAAGAAGTAATAACTCTTCCAAATGATCCACTCGTCCAAGCATTGGAAAAGAAGATCAGAACAGAAGCAGACTTACGATGAATTTTTGAATGGTATCCTGATCTTATTTAGTCAAGATGTCTTCTGAAGATACGACCGTATGTCTCTTATCTTTCCAACGGTTCTTGAATCGCATCAATCCGATATCAGGAACTCAAGATATGGCTATTTTACTGAAGACGGTACATGCAGAAAATCCTATACGAGATTAATACGAGATTTTGTAAATATTACGATTTTTCAATATTTTTATTGATTATTTGTAACATAACTTAATATAGGATGATGCATTATCTTTTAGGATTAGATTTATTATTTTATTAGGAATTAAGGTTGGGTTAAAAATATTATCTTTAGTTATTATTATTTTATTAGGAATTAGAGTTAAGATATGTTTAGTTTATTATTATTTTATTCATTAGTTATTTAAGACCTTTAGAACTCAGCCCCTATATAATTAAACTTTGTAATTAAAGATTTCTTTGATTAATAATACAACGAGAGTTCATTTTTGCAAGTGCTGATTGCCTTATGCCTTCGAAGCTTCTTCTCCTTGATATCTTTCAAGTTCTTGCGAGGGAGATTAATCTTCACACTCCAATTTGCCTTTTCATCGCGACTAGGAGGGTTGGTTAGAGCCATATTATCGTGTTTGCCTTTTCATTGCAACTAAGAGGGCTCGATAGGACATTATCCATCTATTTCCAGAAATTCATCCTCACCATCATCACCTTTGTCATCCACCTTCACAAGGGAGATCTTTTGATTTCTTGGTTATCTTTTCTTTATCTTGTTTTAATCTTATTTCTTATCTTATTTCTAGTACCAAAAAGAAACCCTAAAGAACCCTATCTATTGCCGCCACCTTCCCCATTCATCCCTTATTGTTCTTCATCGAGTCTAGATCTTTTCTAGGTTTGATTCTTCAACAAGAGCAACGTTCATCAATCCTCCACTGCTTCCCTATCAATTGGTATCAGATTTGGGCCGATTCTTGGAAAGAAGCAAGCAATCTTGCTTGTTCTTGCACACAAAACCGTCAAGGTACCCCAACGGAGCTAGTCCAGAAAAGATTCATCGTTTCAGGTTCTTTTTTATTTAATTTTAATTTAGATTCAAATCCTTCTTGTTAGTTTGCTATTTGTTTTCTAAAAAAACAAAAAAAACAAAAAAACAAAAAAAAAAACCAAAATTTCAAAAAAAATTGCAAACGAAGGTATTTAGGGCTGATTTTCTTCAGATATCATATTCGTCTTAATTTTAATCTCCAGTCCAAAATTCAATTTGATCAGAGTTCATTAGATCCTTCAAATACGTCATTCAAGTTTTATCGGCAGATTCGGTCTAGAATATTGTCGAATTTCTTAAAAATTCTACAGGAGGAATTTTGTGGTGAAAATTTCCAGATTGAAACTCCATATATTGGAGATCATTCACACAAAAAATCAGAATTTTTGAAGATCAAGAACAACTTCGAACAAAGTGATCAAGAAAAACAAATTGTTTGATGACTCACCGTTCAACAGAGTCTACTAGATACTACTGAAGGTATTTGGTTCTGAAATTTTACATGTGGTTTCTTGACGCATCTAAAGACATTCAAGAATTTTTCCAGAATTTTTGGATACCGGTAACACCCTCAAAAACGTTTCTCAAGTTGATCCAGCGTTTTCTAGGTTTTCTGGTTTGGTCCTTTTTTTTCTTTGACTCTTAGTACTTTAGGTTCTTTTGTTTTTTTCCCTGTTATTGTTCTTTTGCATTATCTAACACATTATCTTCCTTGTGTTAGTAGGACTAAAGAGTTTGCATACTTCTTCCTTCTTTGCATTCTTGTTCTCTTGGAGTCTAACCTTTGTTTGGCCTCTTAGAGCTTTTAGGTTTTTCTTATCGCCTTTGCTAGTAATCAAACTCCAATACGAACTGTGAAAGACTACTTGGTAAAGTGAGTTTTAAAGAGTACAAGATCGGCTTACTTTCCTCTCGTTGTGTTACTTTCTTGGAGTGACTTGTGAGGTTTCTTGCTTTGTTGAATTTTCTTTCTTTTATTTTTATTTTACTTTAAAATTTTCTTTCGAGTGTTATGATTTCAGGATGTGTGACAATAACAACAAGACACTTACGACTATCTTAGCCGCACTTGCACGACTCATGACTCAATTTGAAAGATTTGATGAACTTACCAATAACATGAGAGAATAAAAAGAACCACAACTGGATCTACCAAACCAGAATCCAAGACTAAACAATGCTAAACTTTTGGTACCCAGGCGAGAACAACCACGTTTCCAAGCACCCGAACTCTTTGCAAAACCAAAGTTCATGATCCCATCTTTCAAAGGAGACAACGATCCGGACAGGTACATCGATTGGGAAGGAAAATTTGATCTCATATTCGCATACCATGACTACCCCCAAGCTAAACAAGTTCCCCTCATCACCATGCAATTCAAAGGATATGCTCGAACTTGGTGGATGCAAACAAGGAAAAAGATCCAGAATTTCCAAATTCCAACAATCACTTCTTGGACCAACCTCAAACAAACCATGAGAAAGTGATTCCTACCGACACATTATACACGAGAAGTTAAACTACGACTACACCGACTTCGACAAGGTAGAAGTTCAGTTGAAGACTACTTCAAGGAGATGCAGTCCTTACTCAATAGGGCTAACATAACCGAAAAAGAAGAGGTCACCGTGTCAAGATTCGTCGTCGGCTTGAACTCAAACATCACTGATCTTCTTGACCTCCATGGGTACGAAAACCTTGAAGATACACTAAAGAAAGCAATGACAATCGAAGTACAAATCCAAAGGAGATTCCGAGAACATTACCAAAGTACTTCATCCTCTTACCAAGGTAATCCTTCAAATCCTTCCTCGTCTTCTGCTTCATCTTCTCTAAAAAAGCTAAGAGATGACAAACCTGACAAGGAGAAAGAACAACCAGCAAAGAATGACACACTTCCAGCCCCTAAAGATCAAATGATAATTTGTGAGGACGTAGGGAAAGCAAAAAAAGAAAAAGCTGAGAAAGAGGCAAAAGAAAAAGAGGTCACTAGTTACAAAAGCCAAAAGAATAATGACCCATGGGAGGTGAGTGGACCTAATTGTGAGAAGAAAAGAGTAACTCAAAATCTATGTGTGAGCACAAAAGAATTGAGAGAGAACCTTCTTTACAAACAACCTTCCATCCTTGTTCGCTTTAGAGAATCAATTGTTTCGATTTCTAACATTAAAAAGGATTTGCCTAGTGTGTTTTCATCTTTGTTACAGGATTTTCAAGAAGAATTAGGTGATCCACCTGACGGATTACCATTGGAAAAAGGAAAACAACACCAAACCAATCTAATTCAAGGTTCCATCATACCTCGTCAAACATACAATCTCGAAGAAACCAAAGAGTTAAATTTGTTACAAAAAGGCTACATCCATGAAAGCCTTAGTCGTAACGTCATCTTAATGACGAAACATGACTTGAACAACTCCACATGCTTTATAGTTCATGCACAGGGAATCCATGTAAATGATGAGAAAGTAAAAGCAACACGAGACTGGCCCACACCATCTTCTATCGCCAAGAGTTGTCGAATAGTGCTAGGTGACCCTCCTGACAGGTTACCACCTGAAAGCCCTAATCACTATGCTATATCAATGAAGAGTCATGATTTACGAGAGTCCAAAGGTAAGTATTTTATTACTCATTTTAATGACATTGTAACATACTTCTTCTCCTTCTTACAAGGTAAGGCTCGTGAAGTTGTCATCCATACTAAGCACAACTCCTTTAAGTGCGTAACATACCGAGATAAGCAAAACACAGTAGACGATACACTACCACGAAGGTATACTCTTACCTATCAAACTCATACTACTATTCCGAGAATTGAACATATCAAATATTTATATCACGATAACTCGGATATTTTTGATATTTCTGCCCATACTTTTAAAAGTGCTTTTAATGAGCTTTATCTTGTATATGAGTTTCCTTGCCAACTAAACAGGTTCTACAGTCCACAAAGCTCCTCCCGGGAATCATTAATTCATGAACCCCGCTTAAGAGACTTAAGGGATTACTTTAACAAACCAGTTGACATGGTTTTTAAACACTCATTCTCGCCACACACAAATAAAACCATGGAGAAATTATCTGAAATAATCATACATAAAGCCAACAGTGGCCGACGCCATGTTGAATTTCAACCAAAACATCAGATTACAAGACTTGTATGCAAAAGAGGATTTCAGGACTTCAAGAAATCAGTTCCTACAAAGAAGAAACCTCGACTAAAATGCATAAAGACACATCACATTGATCCTGGTAAATGTTTCACAAGTTTTTCTTTCAACACATCTAAATCTCTTTCTCTTGGATTTTCATATTCGAGGACGAATCCTTTTGAGGAGTGGGGGAATGATACATGCACCAGAGTCCATAATACATGCTTCTTTGGACAAATGTTTCTACTCGAACCTATTAGAAGAACAAAGTCTCGAAGATTCAAAGCATATCTATTTGGTAAGTATATATAATGTGAATGAATCATTAAATGATTCTAATGTTGCTCCCTTTAATGTTTCAGATTCGAGGTCGAATCTTTTTGAAGAAAGGGAGGATGATACATGCATCACAAGCCTCACATTAAAGCAAGAAGTAATAACTCTTCCAAATGATCCACTCGTCCAAGCATTGGAAAAGAAGATCAGAACAGAAACAGACTTACGACGACTTTTTTAATGGGATCCTGATCTTATTTAGTCAAGATGTCTCTTAAGATACGACCGTCTGTCTCTTATCTTTCCAACGGTTCTTGAATTGCATAAATCCGATATCAGGAACTCAAGATATGACTATTTTACTGAAGACGGTGCATGCAGAAAATCCTATACGGGATTAATACGGAATTTTTGTAAATATTACGATTTTTCAATATTTTTATTGATTATTTGTAATATAACTTAATATAGGATGATGCATTATCTTTTAGGATTAAATTTATTATTTTATTAGGAATTAAGGTTGGGTTAAAAATATTATCTTTAGTTATTATTATTTTATTAGGAATTAGAGTTAAGATATGTTTAGTTTATTATTATTTTATTCATTAGTTATTTAGGACCTTTAGAACTCAGCCCCTATATAAAGGAGGTTTCATTAAACTTTGTAATTAAAGATTTCTTTGATTAATAATACAACGAGAGTTCATTTTTGCAAGTGTTGATTGCCTTGTGCCTTCGAAGCTTCTTCTCCTTGAGATCTTTCAAGTTCTTGCGAGGGAGATTAATCTTCACACTCCAATTTGCCTTTTCATCGCGACTAGGAGGGTTGGTTAGAGCCATATTATCGTGTTTGCCTTTTCATTGCGACTAGGAGGGCTCAATAGGACATTATCCATCGATTTTCCACATATCCATCCACGTCATCAATCATCTTTACCGTTCACCTTCATAAGGGAGATCTTTTGATTTCTTGGTTGTCTTATTTTATTTGCAATTCCTTTATTTTTTCTTTATCTTGTTTTAATCTTATTTCTAGTACCAAAAAGAAACCTTAAAGAACCCTATCTATTGCCGCCACCTTCCCCATTCATCCCTTATTGTTCTTCATCGAGTCTAGATCTTTTCTAGGTTTGATTCTTCAACAAGAGTAACGTTCATCAATCCGTCACCGCTTCCCTATCAATTTGTGTTGAGGAATACGAGATTTTCAAGTTTATCTGTACGCAGCCTTTGCTCATTTGTATATCTTTTTGGTGCTCCTTCGACTTAACAAGAAAGACTACGTAGTTTGCTTGGTGTTTCAACTATATCTTTGTAGATTCAGGGTCCTAAACAAGAATCTTTTAAGAAGTGGCAATTAGATTAGTCGGATGTGCCAAAGTGAAGATGCTGCTGCAGTTGAATTTGGCATTGGTATTTTTTGTAAACCGATGGTTTTTGTTTCACTTTTACATTGCAGTTGAATCTCATGGTTTCCTACAGTTTGGTATGTGCCTGATATTTTTCTGTTCAGGATGCCAACGTTGCCTTGACTTCTTTGAGTATAGATTACTGAGTGCTGCTGAATTATTCCAACAAAGTTGGATGGTGTATTGCTTGACTTGTTCTATGAAACTATCAACATCTGAGTGGGCACCTGACATGTGAAGAACTTTCCTTTTACTCTGGAAAAATAGATACGAATACATTTGGAGCTAAACGTAGAGACTTTTATGACAAGTGATAACAGTTTCCTTCCCCCTCGACATGTCGGTTCTGTTCTTTGCTCGATTGTGATATTATCTTCATCATGTCATAAAAGATGGAGCTCATTGCTTATCTTAACAATGTATGAGGTAACTGTATATCAATTTATATTTATCCTGGATCCCCGAAACTGTAGCTGTTGCTCAATAACTTCTATCAAAGCCCAAAATCACCTAAGCGTCTCTCTCATGGCTCCTCGGGCCCGTGATTAACTCTTCTCCTTATTCGATGAATTAACCTTTTTTTAATGAATTGAAAGCTTATTTCAATTTTTTTTTCATACAACCACTTTTAAAATATAGCTGGAAATTAGTAACCCTTTCTTTTTCTTTAAGCCTATGGCCCAATCCAACCGAGCTAATCCAACCGAGCTTTATCAAAACCTGGATTTAGTATGCGAGTCTCAAAGTTAGGCAGTTATAAAAGTCTGGATTATATCTCAAGTCTAAAGAGGTTATGCCCCCATTTCAACAGGCAAGTTCTCGTCACTGTTCCTTTTATTTTTAAGACTCAAACTCAAAACTTTATTTAAGAGATCTAACTTTGTACCAATGGTTTATTTTAAAAGAAAATTGAAGTTGAAGTGAAGGTTGATGCTTAAATACAAAGTGTCAAAGGCCTGATTCTGACATGAAACAGTGGATCAGAATAGGAAATAAATATATTACTTTAAGATAGGCGAGGGAATGGGGAAGAAGCTGGGAGCAATAGCTATGGCCATAGATTCTATCATATCAAACCCTATACATTGTTCAAACTAAATAGTGCACTGGGTGTGGATTCGCATGCTAAACAGTTGGAGTGAATTGAATCTTAATACAATATAATGGATCACAAAAGAATTATTGTCTTATTATCATGGACGTGACATGAAAGAGAAATGACAGAAAGTCTTCGTCTGACTTAGTTGGAGGTAGACTAATGATCCCCAATCAAGGCATGCATCGTCAATTGTGCTTTTTACGCCCTAAACCTCATCTGATTTGCTATTTGCTAAAATATAGAGTAAATTATGTATTCAGTCATCCATCTACTTTTGTCGTTCTCTTTTGGCCATTAAACTATTTTTAAATTATATATAACATTACGTTTTTGTTCCGTTTTGATCACATGCCCTTAAATAAAATAATACAACTGATGTGATGATTTTATAATGATGATGTGATATTATCTTATGGTTAATCACCATCTTTATTATTGATTTTTTAATGATAAATGATCAAAATAGAACCAAAACATATGTTATGTATAATTCGAAAAAAATAGTTGAGACTTATAATAGAATTAATAAAATTTTCAATCTAAAGTGTATAGTAATTAAATTCTAAAAAATGAAAATAGGGGGACTTAGAACATATTTTAATTATATATAGAGGAGAAGATACTAATTATTCCATTCAGAGTGACATTAAAAAAGTTATGTATCCTTCATTTAAATTTTTAATAAAATAAAGTAAATAAACAAGTAAAATGTAGTTTCAACCCTGTTTGTGAGTTAATAAAAAATTGCACAAACCAAGTGATTTCAGTGTAACAACTTTGAGGTCTCGAGTTCGAGCACAAAAATACTAGGGGCGTGAGCATTCAATGTCAAATGGTAGAGAGTTATCTATGAACATATATTACCTTGTACTTACCTCATATGAATAGAAAAAATTTAAAAAACTCTAGCGATAATATACCTAATAATTGTTTGGGTAAATTAAAAAATTGGTATTTAAACTTTACTCTCTCTCTTATTTTATTTATTGTACTTTAAATCTTTTCAATTTCCTCACTAAACTTAATACATTGAGTTTTTCGATTACTTAGATGTTTTCTAAGTGAGCAAAATAAGAAAGAGAGTAAAATTTAGTGATTAAATTTGTAATTTATCCTAACTTTTTATATAAAGAGAGATGAGTTAATTATATTATATCCATTCAAGTTATGGTCATGATTTTAAATTATTGTCCGTATTTTTAATATTTAAATCCTTAATAATAGCATTATTATCAGTATTGTATCAATCTTTTTTTTTTATTAATTTAGTCACTACTAAACGTTGAATGTTAGCTTAAATATTAACACACAAACATGACATCTACTTTTATAATGGATTGTCGTACTCATATTTTATGTGTTATCGTACTCATTAAATAGGGCTTTGATGGGTCTATGTAACGATAGATGAAAGGTTGGTGAGAACAAATGAAGAAGATAATAATAGTAGTTGTACCCAGCAATTAAATATTAATAAATAGATTTATTAAATGGGGTAGGGCAGGCCCCTGCTGTCAATATGGCACATGAACTAAAATAGGCGGGAATGGAGAGATTATTGTGGGTGCTTTATTTGCAAACAGTAGTAAAGATCAATTACATCAAATATTCCTAGACTATTACTCATATTTGAATATAGTTTTCAAACTTTAAAAATATTCCAATTATGTCATCAAAATAGTATTAAACAGACGCCTTGGTAAGCCTAGCCATCAATTTAGGTATTAAATATCAATTTGAATATGATGTAGGGTATGTTTAACTCATATGAAACTAACTTTTTCAAAACCTTAGATTTACGTTATTGTTGTAGTATAGTAGGTACACTCGTATCTATAATTTAATCTATGTATATTTAATAGATGTTGAGAATCATATTCAAATTATATCTAGGATCATATGGATTATATTGACATTAATTTGACATCGCAATTGGAAATTTGAAGTTTAGGTACCAATTTAAAATTAGTTAAAGTTCGAGGCATTTTACTTAAATGAACCCCTATGGGAATCAAGTCAACTCAGCGATTCAATTCAGACACACTACTCTAACCTGACCATCTGGTGACACTGTCAAATCTGACTGAAACTCACATCTTTCATCATTAACGCATAATTGCCTCCTCAAAGCTAAGGGAAAGTGTGTGGGACAAAGTAAAAAAAAAGAGAGAAAAGGAAAGTGTGTAGAACCGAGTGGGGCCCTATACTAGAAATCCCATCGAATCATATGGTGCCGCGTGTTCCTAATACAGCTTCTCAGGGTACCAACAGACTCACGCGCCATGGTGAGAGCGTGGGGAGGGGGAGATTAGGTATAGTTTGAAGCGTCGACGTCGGCGATTAAATTCGGTCCCTCGTTACTCGGGCTATTTCCATTGCTTATTCTGGCCCATTCCATGAATTCAAACACCCTCTCAGGATAATAAATAAATTTATTAATTACTAAAAAAATAAAATAGTATTTTTACGAATAAAAAGTTACCAAGAAAGGGTATTTTTAAAAAAAATATATATTACAGTGTTTAGCAACTTTGGGGACGGAAACCGTACACAGGAGAAATGAATGTAGAGATGGAAAATGTTTCAAAACTCATTACAGTGGTTAAATTTATTTTAGGGGCTTAAGTGTTTCTATACCCTCTCCAAATGATCTGGGTCAGAATCTTCATTTGACCACTTTTATTTTATTTTAATATTACATTAATTACAATAGATTTATACATGTTATCATATGGTTTAAGGAAAATTTTTCTGAACTAAATACAATAAAATTAAGAAAAAAATTATTTCAATTGGTGGTCATATATATCTGATTAAATTTATTAAATTAAAATAAAATTATGACTAATTTAATAAAATAAATGAGTAATAAAGATCGAATATATAATTATACTAATTTCACTATCTGATTAGATGATAAAACTTATTAAATTTTGAATGTTCCAATTTCAAGTCTTTCACCATTGGTAACTCAAATAACTAAGATGATTAATTAGAGTTTTGCCTTTTTTTCTCTTGGCCGACTGGTCACTCATAAGGTTTCTACCTTCAAGTTCCTTTAATTACACTAAGAAAGCAACGATTAAAGTTTAACAAGTATTTACTTCAACAATGACTGAGTTAGAATGCACTTTGGGGGAGCTAAATCTGGATGATGATGAAGAAGAAGCACTACCAATTGTTCAACAAGGCCCTGAGAGCATAATTTTATTTAAGATTTGTTTGTGGGGTTCTATCTAGCATCAAGTTTGATAAACTTCCAGGCGATGAAAACCATGATGACGAGCGTACGTCACACAATTGGAGGAATATCAATCACAGAACTAGGGGAAGGGCGGTACTTATTCCGACTTTATGACAAACTTGATGTTGATAGAATTGAGAACGAGGGTCCATGGTACTTCAATTCACATATTTCAGTCATACACAAACTACAAATAGGGGAGGATCCAATGATGGTTCCCCTCCATTCAGCAGATTTCTGGGTCCAAATTAACGATATTCTAGTGGGATATATATCTTACAAGTCACAAAACAAATTGAAAAGTTCATTGGTAAACTTTTGTTTTATGATACAACAACTATGCTATGCAAATTTTCAATATGAAAAGCTAAAATTATTCTGCTACTTATGGAAAGCGGAGACATGGAGATGGTTTATGTCCCCTAAACTAGATGTCCCTAAACTACAGAACTCACTACAGAACCTCATCCCTCATGATGTCTCACTAAAAGAAACTGGACACTCAACCTGGTGAACCCTCTCCTAAAATAAATGTATAAAAACATTCCGAAAACAGTTGCTAGTCAGGCCTCTGATATAGTAATGGTTGAGATCGAAGAAGAAAAGCCTATGAAAAAGGGAGAAGGTATTAAACGACAGATAAATGCCTATTCGATGGTTTCAAGCGGAATAAAGCAAGAATCTTCGAGTGAAAAAGATAATATATTGGCGAAGGAGGTTGGCGATAGCTCCAAATGTAAAGATAAGGAAAAAAAAATTGTCCCTAAGTGATCTTGGAGAGTTCTTTTACAGCTTGGATGAAAGGTAACACATATCTAACCTTTCTCTACTTCTTGTTTATCAGCATGTGTAGTTTTGGTGTTTTTTGAGTCTATGAAGCAATTGGGTGCATTTAGGGGTTTAAAACATGAAACCGGGAATTTGTTGTTGTTCATGCATAAAGTAATGACCATTCATGTTCCTTAAGTACTAAATAAGCTTTAAACACCATTTAGGGACCTTAGGACACTTTAGGAATTTAGGAATAAATTGGAGGGTTTTAGACGAATGAAACAAAGTTTTCTAGGCATAGGGTATCAATACTATAAGAACAACACTGATACTGCTGGTCGTGTAAAGGAAAAATTCAAAAGGGTTTGTGATGAGATTATTGATACCCTATTAAGGAGTATCGATACTACTCAGGTGGTATCGATACTCGGGGCCTAATATTGATACTTGGGGTTTTGATTAAAAACATCGAAAGTAATTTTTTATCAGTACTCATAGAAGTATCGATACAAAGGGTAGAGTAACGATACTCCCCATAGAGGTATAGATACTAAGATATTTTTCAAAACATCAAAAGAAAATTTGGTATCAGTACTCAAGGGAGTATCGATACCCAAGAAGGACATTATCAATACTCTCAGAGGAGTATTGACATGTAGATATTTTTCCAAAATATAAAATGTAAATTTTGTGTCTAGGAAGTATCGATACCATAAGAGGGGGTACCGATACTCAAGGAGGAGTATCTGTACCATCGTGAATGTTTGGGCGATAAGCTTATCTCGGATTTGAAAGAGGAAACCAGGGGGTTTGATGAAGAAAACCTTCTAATAAGCTTACAAGTGGAATACCTTAATTAATTGTGTGTTATCATAAGATCTTAATGAGGTAATATCCCATAAGACTTATGCTTTGCTTGATGCTCGGGAAACATTGAAGACACCAGAGTTAATTGTGTACGAAGTTGGTATGATTGAGTAAATGATTATCCAGATATATATAGTCTAGTGCTTGTGCACTTTAAATTACTAAATAGATATTACGTTGATGTTAGGTGACATGGGCAAATCCTGAGTAATCTAGAGGAGTAAACTAACCGAGTGAGTTTCTAATGCTATGTGACTCGGACTCAACTCGAATTTTAGGGAGACGTTGATGATATGTGATCCATGTCTCTCCTAAAGTTCTTAGTAATCAAATAGGGGTGTG